TTTTCGATATAAGTAGACGAATATAAAATTTCGATGAATAATTCAAAGCTGAAAGTGTCAAAAACCAATTAAGTAAAATTTTATATGTTTTCCATCTTATGGAACACAATATATCATCATTAAAAAGACGATCATATATAATAAACGCTTCTAATATAACAGTTGGTAATATAGAAAATAAAGTAACTATCGAAATGAATAATACTAATATAGAATTTCTTTTCATACGACGTGCATTGTCACTTAGATAATTTTTATTCATTCTTCTTTGATTAAAACGATTATGTAATAAAATGACTGATGATATACATGTTACTAATGATGGTAATGAAACAAATAATATAGCATGTAAAAATGGCCATATACGAATTTTCCAATGATCAATAAATGTATAAGACTCACAAATAAATATTGTTGTTTTCTTATTATAATGAAAATAAAAATGATGTGGAATCATAAATAATATAACTACTATAAAAATTAAAAGTAGACGCATGAGAACATGATATCGAGTAATAAGTAAACGATGATGAGCTGGATAAAGTATCATAAAACCTTGATCAATAGACATAGATGCTAAATATAGATTTGATAATATTGTTGGACCAATTAGAATACTATAAAATACGCCACAAGATAATATTTCTCGAGGATCAGTTTTAATAATAGACATATCAACACACCACAACCAAAAGACACCTATTACAGACATATATCATCATAAAATATGAGAATATAGAAGCACTTATCTTCTCAAAAATTATCTCATTATGGTGAATCTTAGACCTGATATATCCATACAGAGTGATTCTTGCCTTGTTCCATACGTATCAATTCAAAAGATTATTTGATAAATGAAATCTATTTATGTTTTATGTTTCTTAAATTTCAAAGAGAATTATTAGTATGTCGATCAATCGGATATCTTCTGTTACTAGATTCTATTTATATGATATAGAATTTCTATAGAATATATCATCACCTGTTCTTGATCTGTCACTTTAGACACGTAGAAACCCATAATTCGATAATAGCTAATTGAATATATAGAATATTTATAGAGCTATTTTTTTATTTTGTAAATTATTTATTTGTCCTTAAGGTTTGAAAAGTAGAAACATATGCTCTTCGACATGTCACGAACTCCAAGTTCTTAGTTCTCGTGTCAAAGTGTATATTATTAACAGCATAATTCGAGTAGAAATAAGAAGAATAATATTGATTTTTTCATTATATTGAGACTCTAGCTTAATAAATATATTAACCTAAATTTTATTCGAAGCACAAACTACAGTGTAAGCTGATAGAGACTTTAGTATAAGTTAATTTTCTATTAATAGAACGATAGTCAACTTGTATTGAATTAATTTCCATATTCTATTATTTGACCGACATAATAAATTATCAATAATTCGAATCTTTTGTCTAAAATTCTCATTTCTGATGTATAAAAAATTATTTCACTGAAACGAATGCAAATTACAACTACATGTGCCACTGTATATGAAAAAAGAAAATCTGAATTTTTACAAACCAAAAAGAAATATCAATTCGCATATAGCAATAGCTATGAAATGTAATGGTGTTGTTTCTTTACGATTAGTTTTGTTTGACATAATTAAAATTTGAAATAAATGACCAGGTATACCAAATAAAGTACATAAAAAACCACATGTACACCAAATAATATATGATATAAGTAATGCATTGTTATAATTTAAAGTATTAGAACAAATTTCTATACTTGTAATTAGCATTGTACTTCTGTGATTTAACTTCTTATTTTCATACCAAATATCTCGATAGATCGTTCGTAAAGCAAATGTGTATGAAGGGGTTTTACTAACATAATTTTTTTTATTCCAATAACAGAACAATATGAAGAAAGGAAAGAAAGAAAAAGAAAAGACGTTCTTCATGCTATGAAAAACAACCACTATACATTGATAATAGACAAGAAAAATATGATTCTTGCTGTTATTTTCCATCGAATGAACAAACAACATCAGTAATATATTGTTTTTGTAGGATTAATATTTTTATATGTAAATTTTCAGTATAGTCGTTGCAGGGAGAGTGTTAGATGTGATTGACTTTATTTCAAAAAAACATTTTCGTTTTTCTCCAGCAAAAAGAAGGTTTAAAAATTCGCTAATACTACCTCTAATGAGCTTCAAAACATCTTCTATGATCATGATTGCCTCTAGTTCGAACGAATTGCCACTCCTATCATAAAAATCCTAGATCCATCACTGAAAATCTTAGTTTAGGTGATTATATTTCACAATTATTTATTCTTCTATGAAAATAACTGAAACTATATGAATACATATGTCATGTTTATTAATCAAATAGTAAAGAAATGATAATAATATACATTCTTAAAAAGATTAGAATTTTTGCTATGGCATATTTCAGAAATCGACTAGTTCTAAGCATTTGTTAATAATATAAGTACGAAAGGAAATAGTAACTTGAAATTTATGTCATTAAAAACGGTCGAAATCGTATACGATTATAGAAATAAAAATCGAACATGTCCAACATTATTTGAATGTTTGGTAGTTACAATTCAATTTTTGTAGAATTAGATAGAGTTGCAGAAATATAATCATATTGAGTTTTAATAATTTAATTGACTAGATCTATCTACTTTTATTGAAATTTGAAAGCTGAAATAGGAAAAATGCTTTTAAGAGTTCTTTATTTAGTTTTCCGGAAGCCGTTTTTATTTGAAATGATAAAAACATTATATCATTAAGTCTTTTTTCAGTCTTGAATTATTGAGAAAAATGCATAGATACACTTCAAACACTACTTTAGAAATTTTCTATGAAATATGAAAAATAACAATTTTCTCTCTAAATACTCTAATAGTAAAAGTAATGTTCTATTTTTCGAAGATATTTGATCATTCTTTAACTAATATCATGATCACAAAATTTCAATAAGATCTATTTTGTTGTGATATGTTATGGTTAAATTAGTTCATATTGTCTTCGATGTGTATTCTATTTCTTGATTGTCTCTTGATTCTATATATAAAGGGTATACCAAAAACAGTGGCGACTGAACAAAAAAAACGAAATACAAAAACTAGTAGTGTTTGCTTCTTTTTCAACCTTTGATCGACTTCTATGAAATTATTTAGACTATCTTTCAATTTCTCTAAGACAAGAAGCTTCATCATCACAAACAGAACTTAATTCATCATGAATAATTCTTGCTTGAATATTTATTGCAGTACGCACTTTTATATAGTAGTGAAAAATTTACTTATTTGTCTAAAACAGAGATGAGCAATGCCAAATTTTGATCTAACTTTATTTCTTTAACTTTCCTGAGAACACGCCAATAAATTACCGATACAAATAAAACAAATAAGACATGTCTTTATATGTATATTGGTGTAGATAATTAGACATTACAAGGAATGAGAAAAAAAAAATAAAGATAAGAGAAAAACAAAAAGAAAATCAAGAAGAGAATACATGCCGAAGATAATATGAAGTAAATTAATCATCATACATTATAA